ACTACACATCTTTGTAAACACTCCTATGTTAGAAATTCCCATGGTTTTCAAAAAAAAGTATCATATTTTGACCTCTCTTACGGGATTAACTTATTCCCTCTCAGAACTAAAATGTTTAATTCCTTGACAATCGCCATCTTGTTTTCGTTCGATGTTATTTCATTAAAATAAAACAGCATTATACTAACTATGCTAAACAACTTCAAAAGAGGTTAAAAGCGTCTTTCAATTATCTAATAAAACTCATCGTATCCATGTCGATAAGCATGGGAATTCCCATAGGGTACATTATTTTAAAACAACGTTAGTGCAGTGATGTTAATTTCATATAATACAAGCTTCACATTCAGGATAAGCCACAAAAATCCCAATGCGACTAATTATTAAAATATGAAAACTACCTATCTATTAATAAAACTAAAATTATAACTATATTTAGAGTTGAAAAAAAAACTTGCGATGTACCGACAAGTAAAAAAGACTCCATTTATTGAAACTAACGACTTACTCATGTGTTTGTAATTGAGAAATGCTCTACTAGTTTCAACTCACAACGGGACTCTTAATCACGAGCAGCGTGCCCGTTACGCCAGTCGTGTAGCTTGTCGTTATCTTCAATAAAATTAGTAGTCTTACAATAGTAACTATACAAAAGACTTTAGTTTTTAAACTATAGATTTGTAAGTTACATTAGAAATGTCACAAAAATTCGTCGCAGTAATAAAAACATTACGATTATTTAAAAAAAAAACAGTTGACACACGACTAGTCTTCATATATCACTTTTAAAAAGATAAATGAAGAAAATACTTCTTGAATATTATGTATAACAGCCAAGGTTGATAAGTTTGCAACGAAATGCGCTACAAAAATGGTGTTGATATATTTGACTTGTCAATTATGTGACAGCCGTAGAGTGCGTTCGAGACAGTTGGTTAATCTTAGCACATTAAAGTACCCCAATATCTAATTTTATTTCAATAGAATTTCGGCTTTATTAGAATACAATAAACTCGAAATTTAATAAAAATCACAATGTCAGATTGTGGTTGCTTCATGCGTGTGCATTTCACCATAGTATCTGTAGAACCCGTCAATTGTTTGTTATTTCAACCTCCAATAGCAAAAACATTACTTCTTTACAAATTATAATCACATAAATCATCGTTCACTAAAACCGAATAAAATATTAATTTTTTTGACAATACCCATTTGTGATTATTTTTAATACATTTATGAAGGTCGTAACTGCTTATTAAAAAAACTACTTCGATAGCTAAATGCAAGGAATACGTTACATTACAAAACATAATACTTTGAAGAAAAAAAAGTTTAACGACTGCTTTAAATAAAAGCATGAGGATATGTTTATACATTAGCGAGCAATTAAATAAAGCTAACGGTTTTATAGTGCGTTTTATTTGTAGCTCCATTTTCTTATGTATTAATAAATAAAAAAATTACATTATTCACTCGGCCTCAAAAATTCACGTAGCTAATTATCTATTTTTATTAATAATAATAAAAGTGATCGTGTGGAAATGTGAAAAAAATGTGAAGTGCGTTCCGTGTATTATTTGTGTATATTTGTAGATATTATGCTGTTCATTTACGAAATTGAAATCTCAATAATCAAAATTATTATTTCCATTCTAAAAATAAAACAATCACATTTTGATATGGTCACAATGATACTTATTCTGGGGTTAGTATTTTCATAATTGTAAACTTAAATACCTATTTATTGTAAGTTTTGCATTTTTTATTAAAGAAAACCTTGTTGTAACATAAATTGGTTACTTAAAAAGGCACATATTTGGGCATGACAATAAAGGAACTTGGTTGGATATGATCAATTCGTGTCTATCTATAATCTATTTTAATATCGGAATAAAAATATCGGCTTTATTGATTGCGTGTAGCGTGCTATATATTTGTTTAGAAAATTCAATAAGTAAATTTAGAATTGGTTACCTTTCGCGTAAGCCTTTCCAATTTCTCTCACTTATGACCCAAAATAATCATTCCGAATCGGAAATTTCTATTGAGACTATCAATATTACATTCGTGTGACATATAAGAAAGTATGTACATTTTTTATATCTTTTTTTTACAATGATAAACTACACCAATATAAGCCTAGGCACTTACGGCAAATATGTTTTGGCATATTCATTAAATTTATATAATTTTACCACAAAACACATATCTTTACTTAGGTATAGTAACATGTTGGATAAACCTGTACAATAGCTATTAACTAAAAGGAACGATGCCCACATTTTTAGTTAAAAACGTGATTCTTATAAGCTATTGTTATTCATATTACACCGACTTACTACTAATTTAGACATTGACAAAGTTTCCTGGCACGCTGTTCGATCTTTAACGTTTGAAAAAATATTCAAACCCAAGATCAAACTACAATATAAATATTTAAAAAATCCGGAACGAAAAGTCACACTGATTTCCATAGTCGTATTTAGGTTTGACGAAAAGTTCGAAAATAATTTCATAAAAATTTCGATCCGGATTTTTTTCTTACATTTTTTCAAACGCCAACCACGAACGGCCGTCGTTCGCTATTTCAAATTTATTTTGAATTCTCACCACGAATTGACTCGAGAATTCTTCGTATAAAATTAGATTTTTTTTAAATTCAAACTTTGAAGCGAGAGTGTCTGATTAAGTAGGACGTGAAACGTGATAAAAGTGAGGGATAAAAACTCGTCTATTTTTCTTTTTTATTGTCACAAGGGATTTAAATTTGGTTCATTGCGAAGCACAATTACTATGCTAATTTATTTTTTACTTATATATTGACTTGTATGTCACAGCACGCTTTGATTAACACATACTCGTGTCACATACGATCGGTTATACATTTAAATCGATTGGAAACTAAGGTTTTCCGCAGTCGGATTATAATTTTCCAATTAATTTAAATTATCAGGCGTATGTACCACAAAAAGAAAGTGCTCATTGGTCTTAATTAAGTGTGCCCAGGGCACGAAATTTTCGAGCTCTGACCCGATATGTCAAACTCGAGGTAACCTCAAACGCACATGTTACAACTAAAAAAAAAACTTATAAAATAAATTCTAAAGTACAAGTGAGTTAAAATTAAAAAATGTACTTCCGCCTTGCACCTGTGAAATGAGGGCAAATGCAATTTTGGATATTGACTGCGAAAATATTGCTGTTTAAAAATAAAATTATAAGTGAACAGACTACAGAATTTACATTTTATTTAAAATAATGTGCATATTCATCCTAACAATTTATATGTTATGTATAAGTACGCTAGACTAGTTCTTAGGGCGTTTTAATTATACAAATTGCTCTTAAAAATATAAGCAAGGAACTATAAAACAACAGATGAAAATAATTGTATGACTAGATCAAAAGGATTTTATTACATAAAAACAAAAACCGATTGACCTTTTTTTAAGTATTGTGCAGAATGTTTTGTCATAGAGACTGGCTTATAAAAAAACTGTACTTTTGTTGGACCGAGTATCATAGTTTTGACGACGGACAACCAGTTGCCCTATTTCTCATATATATTTTTTATACAGATTGTAAAGTTAAACGAGGGCCGAGTTTGGTGCTCAATAACAACAACTTTTTTTATACCGGATCAATATCCAAATTTCAAAAATTAATTTATTTCTTTATACAAATTTCAACAGCTGTTTGTTCATTTTGCATGAAGGAGTGTTTTTTTTTAGTTTGCCATATTAGTTGTTGGAAAAACTAGTCTTATTTGAGCACCAGAATTCCTTTAATACCCTCGTTCATCCTAACACACTGTTGATATTTTATCTTCCATGATAAGAAAGAAAAATATTAATTCCATAATTGTTTTTAGCAGTCAATATCCAATATCTATATTTCTTTTATCATCATCTTTCGAAGACCAGACATGATTCTTCTGTCAAGATACAGACACTAATATTCAAGGTCAAATGTCATTAATAGATTTTCAATTAAAGAGTATTGTAATAGAATCGAAAATCGATTAAGCAAAACTCATAATGGCATGGTATGGCGTCTGTACTGGAAAGTATTATTAATGACATCTGAAATTGATATTACGGTAGTTTTGTAGATAAGTCCAAACAGAAAAAAATACATTGTCACATGGAAAATAAAGTTAACTCCTTACTTAAGCTTTATTTTTTTAATAAATCTTATGTAAGGATTAACAGAGAAAGTCATAAACTGAAATCGAATTTCGTTTCAAATTATTAATCCTTATTTACAATTGAAACTGGACAGTGGCGCTCCATTCGGATAATGTCTGCCAAAAGTGCAAATGAAAATATGGCGAATATTGAACTTACATTGCCTTTATAGAAGATCCATATATTTCTGGTCAGACTATTTATTAGTTTTAGATAAAAGGAGCTTAATTAACACCAGAAATGATGTTAAATCAGAAAAGTGTTATTAATGTTGATTTGTAACTAATTGGAAATAATAATTTGACAAAACAATTAATGTAAATCTTGATTACATCCATACTTGTTAATTTCCAAAAGTATACCTTTCTAAGATATTTCCGATTACAGACAACAGACAATTTTACTTCAAGACTCTGTTAACAATTTCTTATAGTCTTATTAAGACTAAATTTCTATTATATTTAAAGATGGAACTTCAAAAGGAGAATGAAATGTCTGACCTTCTGAATTGAGACTACCAAAAATCTGTTAACGAAACTACTAAATAAATTAGTACAAACGAAACAAAATGTGAATTCCCTGTTTACCCTCAAGCTACAGTTGAGACAACGCCAATTATCAAAATCTATTTCAATAATACAAAAATGACAGACAGAGGCAATTATGGTCTTGAGAAAATCATGTCTGGTCAGGTAAAAATGGTGTTACCAAAAGTAGTTGTAAATTGCTCGAGCCACCATAAATTGTATATAAGTAGAGGCTATAAAGAAAGAGTGTAGGATTATGTATTTAAGATTATCTTGTCTTACAACTCTAGTGAGGTGGGGGCCGCTGCCTTTGGTTGGGAATTTGCCTGTGCGGTAAAATTCTTCTAGCATCTGATCTTTTTCCACGAACCTGTCGTATAGCCATTGGGTCATGCCTTCGGTGTCGGCTGGTACCTGTTAAAAAAGGTTGGAATATGTATCATAATGTTAGTGGTAGTTTTTCACGTACTCGAATATCTATACTAATATTATAAAGAGATAAAATTTATAAGTTTGTATGTAGTATGTCTTTGGAACCACTGGCCCATTTAAATAAAACATCACCCTACGACTAATAGGAGCAGAGAAGCGGTTGAAACTGCGCGGTTGTAGCTACTGTGCAAATAAAGAATAAAAAAAAATTTTACAAAATAAAAAAACCGCCTTCAAAAAAAGTCAAGCAATAAAAGTTCCTACACTAAAAAGTAAAAAATAACAATTTGAATTACTGTAAAAAAACTTAACTTTATAGGTAAACTTATTTGACATTAATATTTTGCAAATATTCAAAATTTATTACTTATTTTTGGAGTCGTTTGGAGTGTTTTTTTTTTTTATTATAATGTGTTATGGCAAAGAAGTCAATATCGTTCCTACATTTCTTTTGAAAAAGTTACCAATGTCATACTTATACGTAGAAATACATATCATAGTACATTGTTACTGTGTAATCGTTTTGATCTCGAGGAGAGATGATATGATGCATGAGATACTTATGACTTATAGTTAAAATAAAATAATAATCTTATCATAAATTCATATTAGTTCTCGCCAAATAACAAAAAACTAGATATTTTCATCAACAGACAGATAAAGTTCAAAGATACCAAATGCAATCTAATTTAGTATCTATGATTAAATACATTCGTACATAGAAAAAAGACCGATGCAATTATTGTTTTGTATCAATTGTAACCCATTAAATGAAGAATACTATTTTGTTATTACTAAGAACATTCATATATAGACAAGTTGGTAAAAATATAAAAGACCATCGCTATTGTAAATATACATTTATGACTCATTCAATGTATGAACCTTTTTTAAGTAAGTATTATCTACATATGTGCACACAAAAGAAACACAATTATTGTTTTGTAACCCATTTAAAACGACTGTTTTGTTAAAAATGCCAATTAATTCTCTTAGCCTCTTACTAGGAAAACGATAAGAACACAATGACTCATTTCACCACTAATGTGTAAACGCAGTCCACGTGGACTAATGCAAAATAGCCAATACTAGGCCAAACTCCGCCCCCAAAGGTGTGCGGTCCCGCTCTAGAACCTTTCGGCCCCATCGGCCATCTGTTCTACGAGCAATGTGCCGTGCCCACTGTCACTTAAGTTTGGCATTTCTTCGGGCTATGTCGGTGACGCTGGTTCTTCTGCGGATTTCTTCATTTCTGATTCGAACATGCACGGAAACTATGAGCATAGCCCTTTCCATTGCTCTTGACAGCTCTAATAAGCTTACACAATACTAGGCCCCATGCCAACCTTCCAGCTTCATCATCACATCAGTTCAATAGTACCTTACAGCCAAAGTGCATCTTATAACAATTCTAACAAGCCCAAACACGGCTAGGATATATTAATTAGGTACGCAGTTCCAGTGCCTACCTTCCAGCTCCATAATCATCATTAAATCAGTTCGATGATAACATTTCCAACATAATTATTTAAGATCATTGGTTTACAGTGCATTTTCATAGTTGCTGAACTACCTTGATTGTGATATCTATGCGAGTGTCAAGTTTCATCATCCATTTCTGATCTTCTTCACCAGTTCCACCTCATCAAACATTACTTTTTGACTGTAAATGCTTGAGTGCTCTATGAAAATATTAAAATTACTATATAGTTGCCTATAATATTTGAGGAGTTCCCTCGATTTCTCATGGATCCCATCATCAAAACTTGATTTTGAAAAGAATGGGACCAATCTGGAAGCATATCCTTTCAATCATAAAAAAATTTTGCAAATCCGTCCATAAACGACGGAGTTCTGAGGTAACAAACATAAAAAAAAAAAATAAAAAAAAAAAAATACAATCGAATTGAGAACCTCCTCCTTTTTTTGAAGTCGGTTAAAAAAGAAACCGTTCAGATTTTAAGATGTAAAATAAAACAAATATATTTCTCGAATTCCAATTTAGTCGTTGTTAAAAAATTAAGTAATCTAAAAACAGTTTTTCAAAATAATAAGGACAGTCCTAAGAAAACAAAGATGACAACATAGTCATCAAATCAAATCAAATCAAAAACATTTATTCCAAATAAACCATAAATAGGTACTTTTGAAACGTCAAAATAGAATAGTAGTCTGTCAGTCTGTTCGTCAGTGAAGCTAGGTGCTCGTTCCAAATTGTAGTTTCGAATGGAGAAGAACGAGCAAGAAACTCCATCGTTACTCTTTTAAAAAAAATATTTGTTTTACAATTCATCAATAATACATTTTTTATACATTACTGTACCCCTATGTGAGAACAATGCAGAGACAAGTTGTTAATAAAAAGGAACAAATGATGGTCTATTTAATCTATCATTAAAATTTTAATCCTTTGTTGTTTCGTACATGGCGCTCACATATGCGTACTCACAATCCAAAAGAATGCTTCTATATAAACTCATTCAAGGTTTCATTAATTTTGAGAATTTTGATAACTACTGACTACATATTTGAGAATTGTCCAGTGGAGCCGAACCAACATGCTGCCAGGCATTCTTATCCTCAATATAATCTGAAAGTTTGTAGTATGCCTGTCTACATAATTCGCGTTTAATATAAGTTTTAAATTTTCGTTCATTAAGATTTAATACACTTCTTGGAATTTTATTGTAACAATTTACACAGAACCCCATAAAGGATTTCTGTACTTTGGACAGACGGAATCGACGAATTCGTGACGGAATAGTGTAATTCATAATCAATTGATCTGAGAATTTTAGGATCACCATTTGATAAGTTACAAGCTCAGAAGCAAGATGTTCATTGAGAAAACTGGTCATTTACAGGACATTGACATTGGGCCTTAGAAATAGCCTTTTCAGTGTAATCAAAAGGTTCTTTATGGTCCCAAGTAATGGCACATTTTGGGGTCTTTTTATGCTAATTTTTGAAAATAGTTCATCGTCGAATTTCAGTGTGAAGTAGAGCGTGATGATTAATTTGAAAAAGAAAAAAGGTTTTTATCGTTTGGACTTCTTTTGAGATATTTTTGGGCGTCGCTTAAATCAAGATGAAATATCTAGGGTGCCAAAAATGGCTGGCAAAGAAGGAAATGTTCACTAGACTTTTAAAAAAGATGGAAGATGAAACTACAGAGTTTTTGTAAAAGTGTAATGATAGATGCAGCAAAAAGATATACTTAGGGAACTTGATTGACATTTTAAAACTCAAACTGTTTAAATGTTAGAGATTTTTTTCTTTCTATTCCTAACAATACTCTATGTTTGAGTGTGTTTCACTTCATCTTATGAGTGAGGATACTGGAGGCCCCTGTTCACACCTAAATCTCAAAAACCCTAATCCTCAAAAGGTCGGCAACGCACTCGTAACTCCTCCGTTGTTGCGGTTGTTCATGGGCGGCATCGACTGCTTAACATCAGGTAATCCGTCAGTCGTTTGCTGGCCAATAACATAAAAATAATTACATAGTTTATAAAATAACACATTCGTTGGTGTGTTAGATGTACATACCTCGGTACTAGGGTACAGCCTATAATGCAGATGTGTGGCACATGAAGGTCTGATCCCGCAGACTATGTCCTGAAGATGTAAAGGAATCCTATCTGGGTAAGCGATGGTCACATCCAGAACCCATTCGATGCTCTCACCAACGTTGGACTCCACGATCAGCTTAGCGTTACTCTGGTTAAAGTTATTATCTGTAAATTATAATATATATATACATATATATATTTTAGGTTACATTTCATTTGTTTATTAATACATTTTTTTTAAAGTTTGCCTCACTCTAGGCTTTTCTCCTGTGTGCCGTGTGTACAAACAAACAATTTTACATAAACATCACACGCAGACCCTGAACAACGATTTGTGGTCACACAAAACGTTGTTTCATGCGGGAATCGAACCCGCGAGACGGCACGCGGCAGCCGGTTGCCAAACCACCGTGCCAACTGTGCAGTCAGTTCATTAAAAGAATGGATTTTATTGTCACATGTTACATACGAGTGTATGTGCCTAATCTTTTAATCATAAAATGGTAACTTTAATAATGGCATAAAGCCAAAAACTGATAATACCAAAACAACTCATATTAATTTCTATCAGAAAAATTGTGTTCCACAAGCAAGCTAATAAAACAAGTAAAAAATATAATAACAAAGATAATATAAAATATTTAGACGATAAAGTGACTTTTAATGAATACAGAAATAAATACATTGATGAGATTGAAAGCGCTAAGAGTCTCCCAATTATCTTCCAGCTAAGAGGGATTTATTTTAATAAGGTCGACAGAATTTATATTAAGAGTTCTGAAGAAGCAAAATTAGAAAATTATTGAAGAATGTTACGTAAAATGTGAAAATATTTTCAACGAGTATTTTTTGATGTTATTATCCGCGACTTGTTTCGGTAAGATCTATAACACTGATTAGTTTTATTTTTGGGGCGTTTTAATGTGCTTGTTGTTGTACTACAGTTCATATTTTATTATTACGTATAATTTTATAATAATTAAGCCAATTGAGATCATAGCCTGACCATTTTACTTAAGCATATTTTAATTGTGTGCTGCTTTCGTAACTAAATAAATCAACTAGTTTCAAGTCACGCCGGGAGCCCATAGCAACCGTTGAAATTAGTAACTATTTTATTTTGACATGTCGCACGATTCTTAATTCAAATGCTAATTACTCTTACCTTTTTTTGTGTTCTCTTTAGAAGTGCTTGCTCCCTGGTCCCTGTGAGGTCCCACTTCCTCCATGATGACCTTCATAGCACCGGCACGAGGTAGTGAAACGTATTCTAACTTCGGTAAATTATTCTTTTCTGCGAACCTGTACAAACAAAACATTGACATTCTCTATTGACTTTCTCTCTTAAACTATTTTGTATTAAAAACTCAACTCATAATTATTGGTACTTATATGTTTGAGAAAATAGGTTTTACATATCTCAGTTATATGTACACATTTACCTACTTATGGGGATTATAAGCTTCCTGCTTGTTATTATACTTCCTTACACCTCAAACTATCATCGAAACTAATTAACAAGATTAATGAAATAACTTTTTATCCTGTTACCTCTGACTGACTTCTCTCCTCTTGTGCAGAAACCCTCCCTCTGGGAACAGTACTATGAACTGCCTTGCGAGAGGTATGTACCATTTGTGGATGTGCTGTCTTAAGTCTTCAAGAGATTGGTCTCGTTTCGATTTGCCCTGTGAACAAAGATAGATGATTTTATTAGATTATGCATTAAGTACCGTTTTTATTTGTAATAAATCAGTTTTAGTCAAAAGCTTATTTATGATATGCTTTCGAAAACGGTTGAAATATTTATTTTAAAATAAAATTAGGTTCAACACCGCGCCAAAAGCTGCTTTGATAACCTCTGGTTGGTTACAGAAGAGCAAAACGATAAAAACCTGTATCTAAATCAATCAAATTCATGTTAAAAATCATCTGAGTATTATTCACATAGCTAAAACAACCACTGTTCGCTCTAATATATAATGTCACACACATCTTCCATAGTCATTCTTACATACCATTTTTCTTTCAAAGGGTCGTCACAGAATGATTTTCATCATCCACCGTGTATAATTATAGATAAATCGTTTCCCGAATATTTTAATATAAATTCTTATATAACGAAACTATAATACGCATAATACTCGAGGGCTGGTACAGTCGTCGACACAATGCGTTAACTATTAATGTGCATTTTATACGTCATTATCGAGATCCGCTCGAGAACTAGGGTTGTCAATTTTGAAGGCATATGTTTGAGATTGGCAGATGTTGCGAATGTTTGGGTTCACAAACGTATTTAGTTGTTTACGTTTTACGTAGTTTCATCAATAACTGAAATAAAATTTTTAGTTTAATGTCTGAGTGGCTTCTATTTAACTTTATCCTTAGGTGTTTCAAATTTTATTTGGCTCAGCTATATTACGCTATCATAGGTCACGAAATTACAAATTTGAAAACTGATACTAAAGAAAATTATTTTTTTTATTCAGCATTTGCTACTTTTTAGCTTCAATACCAGCAAAAAAACTATTACATAACTACATACTAAATGTATATAAGTGTTATTGTTATTGTATATTATTGTAAGTCTCGTTCACAAGTAAATCTACTTGTGTGTAAGATGTTACAAGTGTCAAGTTAACTTATGTCGACGATTCTACGCATTTTATTATTTTGGTACACTTGGCGTTTTATATAACATTTTTATTGAGAATAAACATCGACTGTTTATTCCGAAACTGATACGAAAACATTAGCACCAGCGCCAACCCTACGTGTAGGGCTACCTCTAATGGATATTGTCGATATTGGCCCGTCGATGAGTGGGCAACTTTTCGACCACCCCTGATTGGACACAAGGGTCAGCTAACGCGATGTTTTAATTAAAGCCGTTGTTGTGTTTGTACCAAACATGGCCGGATCACGATTTCTGTTAAATAGAAATATTTTATATATTGTTTTTGTTCAAACATTTTGCTGCTGATTGTACTTGATGCTACTATGGGATGTTTTTGTTTGGGTTGCTTTAAATGATACAATACCGTATTTGTTTGCTTCCGTGTATTTTATATGTATATAGGGTACCTACAATCAGATATCGTATGCTATAAAAGTAAAAACACTCAGAATACTCATTATTACCAGCAGTGACTTTGAGAGATAATAATAAAAATATTTTCTTAATATTATTTTTTTATTTAATTATTTTAATCACTGGGTCTTTTTCTGTGTCATGGTTGCGTTTACAAACATACACATTACACTCAGATATGAAATAACAATTTTTGGATCACACAAAGACTTGTTGTGTTGACCATGTTGTCAAATTCGGACAAGAAATAGTATTTGACAAAACTAATTTGATATTAACGTACGAAACTAAAACCTTACAACGCTTGACCCCAAAACTCTTACTCAATCAAACTATTTCGAGAAGAAACAACAATGAAAGAGCACCAAAAATAAATCCTTATCGACCAGAATAATCTTAAATTAAATTCCAATTTAACTTGGGCAAAGTTCGGGAGAGTTCGGCGTACGTGTTGAACTTCTTATTCCCAAGCCAACAATGTCAACAAACCTAGGAGATTTGAGACCTGAGACCTAGACGCAACTTCTTTGAAGTCCAAGAACGCAAATCGTTCGATTCCCACGGGAGCAATGAACTGAACAACCGGGAACTATCCACGAGATCCGATCGGGAACCATCGGCAAGACTTTTGAAAACGCTAACGACCGTCCAATTGGTTGCGTGTTTCCAATGTCGCCGATGTATATTTGTTACTTACGGTCTTAAAAAACATCCTAGATGATAAATTACTGACAAAAGTCGAATTGATATTTTAAAGTTAAAAACCAAATCATCTTGTTGATAAGGTGTTTTTTTTTTTTGATGTAAATTCGAAATATCGGGATTAAAATATTTTTTTTTTATATAAAAAGTATGAAAGCATGGAGTCAACTGAATAAAATGTTCCAAAGATCCCTTAAATTACGAAAAGAAATTAACTAATATTTAAAAACATGTTTTACCAATACGAGCAACTTATGAATTTAACATACATACTCAATGTTAAAAAGAGTTCGTAACGGGATCAAGCAATGCCTAAAATAAATTCTAACCTAGACGTCGGTAACAGTGGAAAACAACAGAATCGTGATCTTCGCAGCAGTGGGAACGTGCGTCACTGAGCAACGCTATCCGATACTTAACGTTTTTGCAACAAATACTTCATTTATATTGATTCCTATTTAGTAACAAAACCAACTTCCTTGTCATTACTAAATGCTAGAGAGAATCCTATCCTAAGGGCTAATAAATAAATAAAAGTAATTTTAAAATAAAAAAGGTTGTCTTCGTAAATAATATTATTTAACATTTCAATTTTGATATCACAAATGAGACTACATATGTGTTTATTTATAATTTTTTTACCTTGCCCTTCACTGGTATTTTCTACTGTTTCGTGGTAGCGTTTATGACCATAAAATTTCACATACTTACACACGACACCCAGAGCAGAAACAACAATTTGTGGATCACACAAAGAATTGTTCCGGTCGAGAGGCAGGCAAAGCTTCATTCTTAAAGCTAGTTTTAATATAAATTTAATAATTAACAGTCTTAAGAATGGCATTCAACAGATAACTCAGAAGGACCATCCAAAAAACACTTCGAAGCAAACTTATTTAACACTCAACACGTGTTTCCCGCATAAACAACAACAGTAGAGTACAATTAAAACCCGGATATCGTGTAGTACGGGTGAAAGGGGCTCGGGTGGAAGCACCTTCTGTGTGAGTTTTAATTGAACATGGCAGATGATAAGCTAAAATATTGAAAGTTCGTATGAGCAGCTATTCGTTGTGAAAACCAGACTTACAACTACATAATAATATGTATGTAGAAAACAAATATAGGAGAGCCAAGCTTCGGCTCGAATGGGTCATTAAATCCCTAATAACCCACAACAGGCCAGCAACACATTTGCAATAACTCTTTTGTTATAATATAAACTATTTTGGTATAATTGGAGCAGAAGTTGTGACAAATCTACTCTATTCTGCCGTTATCACATTGGTTCATTCACAAAATAAATAAAAACAGTATAAATGTACAAAAGCCTGACGTATTAAAAACATCCCAATGTCGAAAGCATAAGCTCTCACTATCCCTAATACAATTATATAAAAAAAAATCATATTACACTCGCGACCAAAATTACTCGGTCACGCTTAAAGATAATCCGCTTAGAATAAACCGTCACAAGTTGAGTTTGTTAATCGTCCAAACTATTACAAGTCTGGCACGAAGAAAGTATACACAAAACTGCGTCCAGGGAAATTCGTTAAAAGAAAAAAGTCTCGTTACAAACGTCCAAGGAGCAGTAACGAGGGTATCTAGTTGAAAACTTTCGCATCGTTACCGCTACTACGGGTGAGATAAGGGAAAAATCTTACTGTAACGTTTACAATGGAAGCGCAGCGAAACGGTCACCCAACTTATAAATAAATTTAATTTGAAATTATGAAGGCTAATAAAATATACATTTTGGTGTCAAGGACCAAAACGTTTTAATTTATGTACCTATATTGTTAACGATTTGCAATTTTGTTGATATAAAACATAGGAAAATGAAAGCAATTTATATCCACGGCATGAGAGATGGCAATCTTTTTTAGTGCTAACAGTTTATGTATTTTTTTTAAACTTAAATTATTTTGTAGACTAAAACTTTATTTAGTATAATTTACTATATAATACAACAAATAAAAGTCGTTCGAATTTAAGTGGTGACTTAATTGACCATAAATATTTTTTCATTAATTATTAATACGTGGTCCATGTTTCTTGGCCGCCAGTGTACGTTCAAACTTGCTACGTGTGCCGTTCTCATAGAAAGCAAGCCTAATTACCTGCGGCCGACTTCCCTCCTTTTCTATTTTTGTTTTAATTGCAACATTTTTTCTCTTTCTGCAAATAAGGGAGCGAGCTTCAGCCACGCGATATTCAGGTTAATTATATTCATGTAAGTAGTTGCGAATTTTGTAGATTTTTGAAGTTGAGTGACATTGTAATGGTGTGGTGTCATAAGGCATTTAATTTTTTTAGATGGTCGCTGGTACGTAGACGGCAGTACGTCGTGGTGGCCTGGAGGTTAAGGAGCCCGCTTCTCATGCATGAGGGTGTGGGTTCGAAACCTGGCAAGTACCAATGTGACTTTTTCCGAGTTATATGTACTTTCTATGATTATTTAGACACCACTGACATACGCTGAAGGTAAACATCGTGAGGAAACCTGGACTTATAATTTCTAATTGTAAGTTTGAAATCGCCAACCCGCATTGAGCAAGCGTGGTGATTAATGCTCAAACCTTCTCCGTGTGAGAAGAGGCCTTTGTTCAGCAGTGGGCACTTATAGGCTGATGATGATGATGATGATGAGATGGTCGCTGGTGGAATGGCTTTCCTTTAAGTAATATGAAGCAAATGTTCAGATAGAATACTTAATGGTCAGCAATAGGCACTGCGCGTAGATAACTTCAACACCAGATGGTTTGAAAGTGCTTTTTGGAGATTGGGGAAATTGTAGATGAGATGTAGATTTTTAACTGTAGGATAGGAAGCAGTTGAACATTACATTGAAGTAATAACTCTGTTATAAGTTACATCTCAATCGAAAGCCAAAATAAACAAAAGATTAATGAATTCAAGTAATTAAATAGTGCGTTAACCTACACGCATTGTAGTAGCTATGCAAATGAGGTTACGGTCATGGCCGGTGCGTTTGCGCAGTGCCACTAATACTTTAAAAACAGAAAATCAAAGTTTAACACTTTCTTCTAATATTAAGCATAATATTTCTTCTAATATTAAGCGTAATATTTTTGCTTCTGTTTCAGAAATACTGGCCAAAGTCGTTGGATTAAGATCAAAAAAATAAGCAAAAGTCAATAAAATTACGAATCTTTTTGTTTTTACGTTCTTCTTTTTTTGAGTTGGGAAAATATATACAAA